ATGGCTTATGGGGGATGAAAGGGCCCTGATTCCCTTCACTAGCCACACCTGGGAATGACAGTTTAAAAGAGATGCAAGCTGAGTGCGGCATCTTCTGGGAACAAACGTGAGTTTATCTTGTGTTGACTTTGGTTATCTGCGTTCCTGGCATTCCTCCCAACTGGGTTGAATTCCTGCCATTCCTTCACATCTGGAATTCCTTCTCTTGCCCTGCCAGACTAATTACCTCATCTTGCCTTGATTGGACTTATAGTTACAGTTTTTGTTGACCACGTTTTGGACTTGATTCCCTGCAGCCAAAGGCTGTTCCTGGGAGAGTTTTTCTCCAGCCAGAAGGTAACCAGGACATTGGGGGCAAAGTTGGAGCTAATAAAGGGACTCCTACTGATTATCTGAGTTGCCTTTGTGCCACGCCCCTTTGGGTCATCACAGAAAGATATAAATGATGTATATCAAGGGACCCTCCAATAAAGACCTTTTTAGTCCAGTGTTGGCAAACCTTTTGGGCTTGGCCAGTCAAAAATTTGGAAAATACTTAACTTGAGTCTGCTGATCTGCCAGTCCTAACCCTTCAAACAGAAAAGGAACAATTCTTCATATATTCATTTGTTTGAAAAAAAAAAATAGTCCCATGTGTGTAAAGTCTGAGGGATAAAAAATATTGGAGGAACTGAATATGTACAGCCTGGAGGACAGAAGAAAAAGGGGGAGGGGTCATGATTGAAACCTTTAAATATACTAAGGGTGTGAATAAGGTTCCAGAAGGCAGTATTTTTATTATTAAACAAAAATCAAGACAACGGGGGCATAAGTAGGGAAGTTCGAAAGTATTACTTCACAGAAAGAGTAGTGGAAGCTTGGAACCAACTTCCAGTAAAGACAGTGAGTCAATCATCAGTAAATGAGTTTAAACATGCTTGGGATAAACATATGTGTATCATCTGACAAAAATTAAAAAATTAAATTAATTTTTAAAAAAACCTCAAAGGGCAAACTCAATGGAGCAGTGTGATGACCCAAAGGGGCGTGGCACAAAGACAACACAGTCAAATAAGCAAGAAGTGTCCCTTAGTACCTCCAACTTTGCCCCCAATGTCCAGGTTATCTTCAGCTGGAGAAAAAACTCTCTTAAGTGGAGGAAATTCAGTCCGAAAACAAAGTACATACAAATTGTAACTAAAAATCCACACAAACCACGCTGCAGTAATTAACTTGACAGGGCAGGAGAAGGAATTGCACACTTGAAAGGCCAGCAAAACACACACAGTTGGGAAGTCGGCAGGAACCTAGATAAGACTCGACAATACAAAATAATTCATGATTTGCTCTCAGCAGTTTGCTGCACGCAGCTTCCCTTTTTAAACACTGTGTTCCCAGCTGCAGCTAATAAAGGGAATCAGGGCCCTTTCCATCCCCATAAGCCACGCAACTCACGTTGCTCCCTTCTCCGTTTCTCCCTGCGTGCCCTAGGATGAAGAGGGGGTGGGCCTGGATCTTCATTCGAACTCCCTCTGCCTTGTTCTACCTCTTCCCTGCTCTGCCCAGCCGGACTGTGGCCTTCCCCAGTTTCCTCCACAGCCAACGGAGCCATACTCCCACTCCCTTGTCAGCTGCTCAGCCTCCCCCTCCAAATCAGATTCTGATGGGGGCATGACAAGCATGAGGTCTTTTTCTGCCATCAGTTTTCTGTGTTTCTATGTGTAATGCTATGTATTATATAAAGAAATGCCAAATAATTACAAAAATGAAATATGACAAAAACAACCTCATTTTTGAAGAGTCCAGAAGCTGAATGAGAACATACTGTACCTCATTCTTCCAAAAATCACATAATAGATCAAGAACAGCTGTTGTTGGATGTTGTTGAACACTGCTGTGACCCAAAACTTTGTGATGTGTCATCTTTGACATGCATGTCGTAGGTTCGCTACCACTGTTTTCATGCATTCAAAGTAGCCGACTACTTAGTTTTAGCTACCAAAAAGGCTACAGCATCTTCTCACTTTAACCTTTCTTTTTGGTTACTTTCCTTTTCACCTCTTCTAAAAATCTGTATTTCATCCATGCCTCTCTTCTGCAGAAGTCTTGTGGCTTTCCAGCTTAATCTCTTTGTCCCTCTCTGCTATTTATGGATCTCTTTCTACAGAATAGAATAGAATAGAATAGAATGGAATGGAATGGAATGGAATGGAATGGAATGGAATGGAATAGAATAGAATAGACAGAGTAGGAAGGGACCTTGGAGGTCTTCTAGTCCAACCCCCTGCCAAGGCAGGAAATCCTACACCACTTCAGACAAGTGGTTATCCAACATCTTTTTGTTCTAACATTATTTCTACAGCTAACTTTTGCCCTTTAAACATTTGTGGGCTAACAGGCAAGTGACAACCAGTTTTTAGCGCATGACTTATGGGTGTAAGATAAGAATGGCAAAGAACAATTTAAAATGACGATATTACTTTAATTGTACCTTATGTTTTCTGATTGTCTTCATCTTAATAACCCTGTAAGGGATGTCATAATTATTCTAATTTAAAGCAGCAGCAAATTAAAAGATAGGGAAACCTGGTCCCACTTGTTCCAAATGAAATTCGGAGGAAAGAGGGGGGAAAAAGTAATTGGATCTGCCTTTCTTAGATCTAATCTAATTCTATTCCATCAAACTGTTCTGGATGTGGTGAGCCATTAAGATTTGATCCTATGCTGCTCAAGAAGACAACCTGTCGGCTGTGACAATTACTTTTCCACTATTCTTGTATTTTAGTCTTCTCTTTTTTTTGCATGTGGTCCTTTTACCGCTGTCAGAGCTGGGACTGTGTCAAATGTTAAATATCTGGAAAATGCCATAAGCTGTCAGGATGGTTCATCCATAAAAGAGCATTTTCATGCCCACTGCTACCTGAACACTTTAGAAAAAATGACCCACAATAGATTGAAATGTTTTTTATGTCATCTCAACAGTCTGGACGTGATTAAGTAGATAGTAACCCATTAAAACATAGAATAAACCATCAAAATGCTCTTGGCCTGGTTGTATCTGAAGTAGTTTGTCAGCCCCACAAGGTAGAACCAACCAAAATGTCAACACTGCAGGAACTCTAGAATTATTTTGATTGAGATGGCTATAATAACAGAATCTTGTAAGTCTTGATTGTGCTTTACCTCCACGCAATCAGAGAGGTCCTTAACGTGAACAGCTATATTATCAGTTTCAGCCCTCTTTGCCAAAGTAACACTTCCTGCAAATTTCCACCAAGGTCATCTCCTTTATTCTCTACAGTGGGTGGCATATTAAATTTAAAACAATGTTTTCCAACTGGGTCAACGTCTAAAAGTTTGGACTTCAACTTCCAGAATTCTCAGCAATGGCCACAATGGCTGGGGAATTTGGGGAATAAGAAGTCCACACAGCTAGACATGACCAACCAGGGGCAAACTTCTGGAAACAACCAAGCTCATAGAGCACCAAAGACCTACAGCCTTCCTCCTCCTCCTTTCTCCTCCTCCCTTTCTCCTCCATTCTGCAAACCCCATTCCCTTCTAGCACTGATGATGTTCCTTAGATAGGTCATGAAACAACTGCAAGAAACCAGCTAAGTTCAGAGAACACCAAGGACCCCATTTCTCCTTAAACTGAGTTCCTGTTTCCCCCCGCTTAATGTCTTTGCTCTGATCAAAATGTATGTATTGCCGACTCAGGTATAGACTGCTGAAAGATGAAAAGGGTTCTTCTGTGTAAGAAACCAGAGAACCTCAGTTTCTAAACTCAATTGAGTTTTCGCCTCCAATGGATTTGATGGTTGTTTTCATTCTGCGTCTATCAACGCATTTCCTTCCCCATCTTTTTCCCTCCCTTTGCTACCTCTTGCATGGGTCTCCCTAGGCACTCCTGATGTTTACAAGCAGCCCAGGGAGAATAATAATGGAACCTTTAAGAGCTGAATTCAATTACATTAAAACTCATTTTGTTTGGATTGGCATCGACTAGCCATGTACGGCATCCGCATAGCGAAGCTGGTTGCAACGTCAAACATTGGCCTTTGTTCAGAATGCTTGAAATACTTTCCTCTGCCGCATCCCCAAACTGTCTTTAGACACGCGACAGGACTCACCGTGACACACACAGTGTTGGTGCACCATCTTCACCTGGTTAAGTAAGTGATCCAGAGCTTCGGCCTGTCCTCTCTGACGTGGAGCCCTCCCGTCGTATTCTCTCCAATCTGGAGTGGGTGTAGGATGAAACAGGTTAGTGGCAAGAGTGCATTATCTGTGCTTCCACTGATGATATTACCTAGTTTGGTAATGAAATGTCTGCAGGAAAACCAACAAGCTCAGAGAGCACCAAGGACCCCACAGTTCTCCTCCCCCTCTCCTTCCTCCACTTTGCAAATCTGACATCCTTCTAGCATTGAAGATGCTACCTAGTTGGCTATTTAAACATTTATAAAAAAAAACCCCATCAAGTTTCAGCAAGTATCAAGGACCCCACAGTTCTTCCTCCTCTCCTTTCCTCTACTCTGCAAACCCAACACCCTTCTAACTCTGATGATGTTACCTAGTTGGGTCATGAAACATCTTCAAAGAAAACCACCAAGCTCAGAGAGCCCCAAGGACCCCATAGTTCTCCTCCACTTTGACCTCCTCCTCCTCCTCCTCTCCTTCCTCCACTCTACAAACCCGATACCTAGCACTGATGATGATATCTAGTTGGATCATGGAGCATTTGCAAGATAACCAGCAAGCTCAGAGAACACCAAAGACCCCCACTGTTCTCCTCCTCATCCTCCTCCTCTCCTTACTTCGTTTTGCAAATCCAACATCCTTCTAGCATTGATGATGTTACCTAGTTGGGTTGTGAAACATCTGTGAGAAAAACCACTAAGCTCAGAGTATATCACGGACTTCACAATTCAACCCTGAGCTACAAATATTCTCCTTTATTGCTACTGGGCTTCACTCTAGTTCATAGATAATGCAGTTCAACTTGGTCAATACAGACAGGTAGTAACCACTGATGGAAATTATTTGCACGATGCCACCATCAGGACATGACCATAGATTACTGCAAAAAAAAAAAAACACCAGGAAGGAAGGAACAGACTTTGCAGTTTGTTTCACTATTTCTAGAGCTCATTCCTTCTTCCATCCTTCACTGGACCGAAGGTTCTTCAGACCCAACGGAGAGAGGTAAAATTCACCTATGCAAGTACATCTATAGGACCTCTTCCTTGTGCTTCTTAGTGACGAGCTGGCCCAACTACTGAACAGCACGGGTAAATGTGTGAGTTACACTAGCTTTACATTATTTGGTTTACACTCTCTCCTGTGCCATAGTTTTCCACTGAAAGTTCAGCTCCATTAATTTTGGCTGAAGACAAGTGCTATTTTTAGGTATTTTAAAAACACCCAAGGAGATGCCTTGAGTTTTTAATGGAGCAGACATTGAATTCTTCTGGTTTTTTTTTAATTTAGAGGAGTTTTTTTTTTAAAAAAAATACATGAAAGCCAACAATAATTCATTTTCTAATCTTGGCTGTGTTCAACAGTTGCCTACAACAATTAGGGAGCTAAATCTGGAGGGCCCAATCCATTAGGTGCATTTACTGCAAATTCAAAATGTGGCTTTGTTGGAGTTTTCTTAAAACCCTTTGACCCTGGAAGCAGTGGAGATACTGCAGATAGCAAACCCAGGTTTGAAGAGCACGGATGGCAAAAGGGCTTAAACCTCAATGTTCACCACACAAACATTCCGAGCAATCTGGTTAACTAAGCATCCAAACTTTGTTCTGAATTGTTATCCCATGATTTGGATCATATCTTTGAAAACAGCCATTGATATATAAGTCTGTAGAGATTCTCAGTCATCCAGGTCATAAGTTGTCCCAAAAGTGCTTTTTCAAGAAGCAACTGGACTTACATGTTTTTCTTTGAAGATGTTTCTCTTGAGGACACAGATAAACCTCCAAGTTGCCTCAACGACCCTCTAAAAGGATGCAACTGACCAGCTGTCTGCAAGATTTATAAATCCTTCCCTTCACCACCATCCAGTCAGAGCTGAAGAAGCGTCTTGGATGAGAAGCGAAGCGTCTTCGAAGAAAAACCAGAAAGTCCAGTTGCACACTTGAAAAAAGCACTTTGGGGACAATGTTTCTGTTCTTCATACTTACTTGAGGGGATGGCATAGGGCGGGATTGATGGTTGTGGGGCTCCCCAACCTTTCATGTTGTAGGCAGATACCTGGACATAGTAAGCCGTACCCTGTGAAGAAACAGCAAAGAATAAAGATACCTAAACCCAGAGGATAGCTTAAAGCTCAACAACTACACAATATATAGTACAGGTAGTCCTTGACTTACAACAGTTCATTTAGTGACTGTTCAAAGTTACAACGGCAGTGAAAAATGTGACTTATGACCATTTTTTCAGAGTTACGATCTTTGCAGCATCCCCCTGGTCACATGATCAAAATTCAGCCGCTTGGCAACTGGGTTCATATTTATGACGGTCGCAGTGTCCCAAGGTCATGTGATGACCTTTTGTGACCTTCTGACGAGCAAACTCACTTCACAACTAACTTATCAACTGGATTGGGATGGCTTGATAGCAGGGAAGAACAGGGGCAGGATGGCCGAGAGAGAGCAAGCGGTGGACACGAGGAGCAACGGAACTCAGGCAATGAGCAAGGACCGCCCCCTCCTGATCCCTGAGCACGGAGAGTGGAGAGAAGGTGGGAACAGTGCAGGCTTGACCCAACAATTTGGGAGGAGAGAGCTCCACCCCTCTTCACAAGGCACACCTGAGGACTGAGATTTAAGGGAACACTATGGGGAGGGGCGTTTGTCAGGAACAAACGCTGAATTGGTAGAGTTTGGTGTGGCGGTACAACGTATGGAGTTTGCAGGAATGCTTGCTTCTTCCTGACCTCACAGACTCAGTACCTTGTTCCCTACTTCGTGGACTCATTGTTTGTTCCTTGGTTCAGGGACTCATTTACCTGTTCCCTTGTTTTGCTGGACTTGCACAGTCCAAGGCTGCTGTGTCTCTCTCTGTGTGTGAAAGAGCTTTGCTCTGGGACTTGCCAAGAACGTAGGAGCGTTTTGGGGGGGAATTTGGAGCATTAAAAGGGAGTTTGAACTCTCAGCTGGCTGTGTGACCTTTGGGCCTTATCCCGAGTCATCACAAGAAGCTTTGGACGGCTCACAAAAGCAGGATCAGCAACAATTCCCAGTTTTCATTCCCAGAGCTCGTTTCCCCACCGGCAGAGCAATCACCTCTGGTTTGGTTGTCAAACCCATCTATCCAAGCGGATCGCACCTTGCCAGAGCAGAAAGGCAGGGTGCAAATTGAAGAAACTTTGCTTTGGGATTGAACTGCCCTCCGGCAGAAAAAAAGCCAGCGAATCGATTGTTGTTCCATGGAGCCCAGTGTTTTTCCAGTAGAGAGCATGTGCCGAATTGGATGTTGCATTCTCTTGAAGTCATGTCTGCCTCCCCTGGCCTCATCCTTCCTTTTGCTCTCATGCTGTGCACTCAGCAGCCTGGCTGGCTCCTGTTTTGCTCTTGGAAACCATCCACCACAACAATGAGAGGGGGCAACTGTGCTAGTCCCGCCGTTTCCCAGAGAGATAAAAACGGGAGGTGGAGGAAAGGGGGAGGGAAGAGCTCAGCCGGTCTATGATTTCATTGCCCCAAAGACTAGACTGGAGTCAGAGATTCTGGCTTCCAATTAGCCATGGAGCTGGTGGACAAGGCTGTACGGTAGTGGAAGTACACGGAGTGGAGAAAGGGCCACTTATTTATTTAGCGTAGGGCAAACATGTTAAAAAGCACATCGCAACTGCATTCCCAATGAACAAACAGGAAAATCAAAATCAAATCAACCTTTGTTGTCAGACTACAACCAGGGGTGGGATTCTACCAGCACCTATTCTCTAGAACCGAAGAAATCACTGGCCTAATCCTGTAAGGAAGGCAGGAAGGAAACATTCTGGTGTTGCTTACAAAAACTGCCTCTCCGTTAACCCTTATTATGTTCTTGGCAGGACTAGACTTCCTGTCTCAGGAACGTCTCTGGAGTTTTTTCCCCCTCCTTTGCTGGTGGTACTTTGCTCGTGTGGAGTGACCATTCAAAGTTACAATGGCACTGAAAAAAGTGACTTATGACCATTCTTCATACTTACAACTGTTGCAGCATCCCCACAGACATAAGAGGCCAGGTGAGGAGATGCGTTCCTCGATGTGAGTGATGTTGAGTTGGCCACACCCACCCAGTCTCATGACCACCAAGCCATGCCCACCAACTAAGCCACACCCACAGAACTGGTTGTTAAAAAATTTGAATCCCACCCGACTACAACATGTGTACGGGGAGAATGGATGCGTCTCCCTTCATGCACTGTCACGACAAACTTTTAGATTAGCTAGAAAGCAAGAAATCCAATTATTTCCTGCTTTGTAGCTAATCTAAATCTCCCAGCACAGCAGAACAGCTGATGGTTGGGGAAAAAAAAGGAAAAATAGCAACTTACCAAAGGCAGGCAAGTTAGATGGCATGCATGCCAGGTAAGGAGTGAGTAGGCAGAGCCAGCCAATTGAGCGGTTCTCCAAATTGCGCAGAATCATAACAACCGGTTCTATAGAACCGGACCGACCAGGTAGAATCCCACCCCTGGGTCAAGCCCTGAAGTATCCTCTGGGTCCCACACCCCCACAAGGGACACACACTCACCGAGACAAGGCCATGGATGGTGATCTGGAGTTTTTTCAGCTTGTCAATCACCATTTCGCCCAGCGGTGGGGAAAAAGTGGGAGAGCAGCTCCACTCAACTGCAATGACAAGAAGAGAACCAACCCTTACTTTGGTTAGTAATTAGAGCACCAGTTTGGTCTAGCGGTTATAGCACTGGGAGACGGGGAGTGCTAATCCTATCTTAGACATGAAAGCTGGCTAGGTGACCTTCCACCAATCATTAGGAGACTGTGACTTCTAGTCCTGCCCTAAGCATGAAAGCCAGTTGGGTGAGTTTGAGCCAATCACCAGGAGACGGTGAGTTCTAGTCCCGCCTTAGGCATGAAAGCTAATAGGGTGACTTTGAGCCAATCACTAGGAGACAATAAGTTCTAGGCACGAAAGCCAGCTGGGTAAGTTTGGGCCAATCATTAGGAGATGATGAGTTCTAACCTGCTTTAGGCATGAAAAGCAGGCTGGGTGACTTTGGGTCAATCACCACGAGACCGTGAGTTGTAGTGCTGTATTAGGCATGAAAGCTTGCTGGATGACTTTGAGCCAACCACCAGGAGATGGTACGTTCTAGTCCTGCCCTAGCCATGAAAGCTAGCTGGATGTGTTTGGGCCAATCACCAGGAGACGGTGAGTTGTAGTGCTGTATTAGGCATGAAAGCCAGCTGGGTGACTTTGAGCCAATCACTAGGAGATGATAAGTTCTAGTCCCACCCTAGGCATGAAAGCCAGCTGGATGGGCCAATCACCAGGAGATGGTGAGTTCTAGTGCTGCATTCAGCATGATACATCATCAGAAGATTTCAAGTTTCCTTCTCGGAACATTTTGTTCACCGCTACTGATGAAATACCCAAAGGTTTACCTTTGTATTTGGTGACAATCGCTGAATTGACGCTTAAAGGCTCCTGAAATGACACTTCGACAGAGGTGCTGCTGGCCACTGAAAGGTGGACATTTGTAGGTGGATCCGGGACTCCTGCGGTGGGGCGGAAGAATACAGGCACAGGTATCAGGAAAAGTGACCCAGATATACCAAAGAAATATTGCCTTAATCCGAGGCAAACTAAAGAGTCTAATTGTTACTCACAGAGAAAAGGAAACAATAATTTTGGAAAGGAAACTGTGGAGAGAAAGATAACCTTGTTAGAGATACAAGTGGTCCTTGACTTACAACCATTCCATTTAGTGACTGTTTGGAGTCACAAAGCCCCTGAAAATAGCGAATTACAACAAGTTCTTGCACTTCTCATAACATCCCTCCGGTCATGTGATCAAAATTTTGGTACTTGGCAATGGAGTTTTGTTTATGAGGACTGTAGTGTCCCTGAGGGGTCATGGGATCCCCATTTGCAACCTTCACAGCTTACTTCCAACAAGCGAAGCCAATGGACAAAGCCAGATTTGCTTAACAACCAATGTGATTCATTGAACAATTGCAGCGATTCACTCTTTCAACTTTTATATAGAGAGATTAAATTTGCTTGCCTTCCATCTTGCAGCAAAGGGGCTCTTTATGAGGAACCGTGGTGCCAAAATGGAGTCGGTTGGCCGTGCAAGCAATATCCCACCCATGACAACTATGTTAGCTAGGAATGGAAGTTATATTTTCCTTTCCAACAGAAAGGAGCTGGGGAGTGGAGCTTGGTGGCTTGGTCAAGCTGTCTTGCTGCTTGCTTGACTCATCTTAAGGCATTCCACAAGACGAGTTGATTACAAGCCCCCCAATAGCCGTGACGAAATTTAATCTCCTTACGTGCAACAGCAAGTAGCCTGGGAGAAATGTGTGGTTTCAAACATCTGCCCAACAAAAGGGTTCTTGGAACCTCCTAAATAGTGACTTGCTACAAGAACAGGAGACGTAAATATTCTGACTCACTTACTACATTTACAGCGGGTGACATCAACAAGAAGAACAGAGGACATCCTTCTTAAAGATGGTCAACGAGGGATTCTCATTCAACACAGACAGTCCTCAATCTATGACTGTTTGCTTAGGAGCCACTTGAAGTTACAGTGGCACTGAAAAAAAATGTGAATTTTTTTTTCATACTTACAACCGTCAATGGGGAAACCAAATTCTCTTAATAACTGTGTTAATAATTTAACAACTGCAGGGATTCACTTAACAACAGTATCAAGAAAGGTCATAAAACAGGGCAAAACTCGCTTAACAGCTATCTGGCTTAGCAATGGGAATTTTGGGTTCCATTAATGGTCGTAAGTTGAGGGCTACCTGTATGTGGGTGCTGGTTTGCATGGCCCTGTCTCCCCTTTTCTGACTGTTAGTTTGGAAGCTATCTATCTTTCTAGCTCTCTCTCTCTCTCTTCTATCTATCTATCTATCTATCTATCTATCTATCTATCTATCTATCTATCTATCTATCTATCTATCTATCTATCTATCTATCTATATCCAATACGGACACAGTGGCTCAGTGGCTTGTTGATCAGAAAGGTTGGCAGGTCAGTGGTTCAAATCCCTAGCGCCACGTAACGGAGTGAGCTCCTGTTCCTTGTCCCAGCTTCTGCCAACCTAGCAGTTCAAAAGCATGTAAAAATGTAAGTAGAAAAATAAGGACCACTTTGTTTGGAAGGTAAGAGCGTTCAGTGTGCCTGCAGCGTTTAGTCCTGCCGGCCACATGACCACGGAGACATATTTGGACAGTGCTGGCTCTTCGGCTTTGTAATGGAGATGAGCGCCGCCCCCTAGAGCCGGAAACGACTAGCACGGATGTGCAAGGAGAACCTTTAGCAAAAGCACTTACTTATATACCACTTTATAGTGCTTGTACTCTCTAAGTGGTTTACAAAGTCAGCCTCTTGCCCCCAATAATCTGGGTCCTCATTTTACCAACCTCAGAAGGATGGAAGTCTGAGTTAATCTTGAGCCAGTGAGAATCAAACTGCTGGTAGTCAGCAGAATTAGTCTGCAATACTGTATTCTAACCACTGTGCCACCAGGGATCTTTTGTGTCACCATGGCTGTATGTATGTATGTATGTATGTATGTATGTATGTATGTATGTATGTACCGTGTTTCTCATATAATAAGGCCGGGTCTTATTTTTTTTTGAGCCCCGAAAAAATGGCTAGGCTGTCTTTTCGGGCATGACTTAGTTCCCCCCCCCACTTGCATCTTTGGGTGGGTGGGTGGCGACAGCTTGGATGTTGACCTCGGCGTTGGTGGGGCACTTCGTATTGGGGTCAACGCAGGCAGCACCATATCCAGGTGTGCAACAAAAGTACTTCCTAACGGCAAGGCCCCCCCACCATTCCCCCCATTTCGCATGTTTTAATATAGGCCTTAATTTGGGAGGAGGGGCTTAATTTCATTTCATGCCTATAAAACATGCTGGGACTTCCTATTGGGGGAGGCCGTATTGTTGGAGAAACAGGGTATGTATGTATGTATGTATGTATGTATGTATGTATGTATGTATGTA